CTTTGGTGGACCCTCTCCAACAGTTCCCTGTCCTTCTTGACCCGGGGAGCCCAGAACTGGACACAGCACTCCAGATGTGGCCTCCCCAGGGCAGAGCAGAGGGGGAGGATGACCTCCCTCCACCTGCTGGCCACACTCTTCTTGATGCCCCCCAGGATGCCATTGGCCTTCTTGGCCACCAGGGCACATTGCTGGCTCATGGTCATCCTGTTGTCCACCAGGACTCTGATGTCCCTTTCCTCCATCCCTGGAGGTGTTCAAGGCCAGGTTGGACGGGGCTCTGAGCAACCTGGGCTGGTGGGAGGTGTCCCTGCCCAGGGCAGGGGGGGACTCGATGGCCTTTAAGGTTCCTTTCCACCCAAACCATTGGGTCATTCTGTGGGTCTGTACCCTCCCAGTCACGGGGAGCACACGGGGACTCGTTTCCCATCCGTGCCCTGTGCGGAGAGCACGTCTCAGGGAGTGCTGCTGCTGTGGAGCGCCGTCCTGCCCGAAGCCCTGCGTGTCAGGAAAATGCACGGCGCTGCCAGGAGCACCGTGCTGCTGATGGCTCAGCTCACGCCATCACAGGGCACATCCCACTTGCGAAACACAAACTTTGCTTTGCCAGACATAACCGTATGGGGCCTCTGCGCCGTCCCCTCTGGACACGAGCGGTGGGCAGCTCTCCCCGCTGTCCCCTGCAGTGCCCGGCTGCTGCTGGCAGAGCCCAAACCCACTCAAAGGGCTGTGTAAAACCCGTTGTAATGTTCCCCACTGAGGAGGAGAAGGAGGCGGTGAAGGGCGGCTGTGAGGAGGACCCTGGAGCAGGCAGAACCCCCCTGCTCGCAGCTCCTCTCCTCCGCCCCGCACTGATCTGGGGGATGCTGTGATGCTGCTCTGCCCGCGCAGGTGAAGCGGGCCCTGGTGCAGGTGATCAGCGCCATGGCTCACCACGGCTACCTGGAGCAGCCCGGCGGGGAGGCGATGATGGAGTTCCTTGTCCGCCAGTGCGCCCTTCCCTCGGATGCGGTAAGCACATCCCGGGGGGGTAAAACCCCTAAAGAAACGTACCTGAGTGGGACCAGGGAAGTCCCTGTCGGTGGCCGTATGCACAAGAATTACTAAACGTAAGAATTACGAGTACAACGTAAGAATTATTATTACAACATAAGAAGGACATGGACCTGTTGGAGTGGGGCCAGAGGAGGCCCTGGAGATGCTGGGAGGGCTGGAGCCCCTCTGCTGGGAGAGTTGGGGGGTTCAGCCTGGAGAAGAGAAGGTGAAAAAGGGGAGAGCTCAGAGCCCCTTCCAGTGCCTAAAGGGGCTCCAGGAGAGCTGGGGAGGGACTCTGCATCAGGGAGGGGAGCCGTGGCACCAGGGGGAGCGGTTTGACGCTGACAGAGGGGGGATTTAGGTGAGATCTGAGGAGGAAATTCTCTCCTGTGAGGGTGGTGGGACACTGGCACAGGTTGCCCCAAGAAGCTGTGGCTGCCCCATCCCTGGAGGTGTTCAAGGCCAGGTTGGACGGGTCTCGGAGCAACCTGGGCTGGTGGGAGGTGTCCCTGCCCAGGGCAGGGGGGCACTTTTAGGCCTTTAAAGGTCCTTTCCCACCCAAACCATTCTGTCATTCTATGAGTTCAGCAGCCCAAGTCTGTGGACACAGCGTAGCCTGCAGAACACTCCCATCCAGCCTCTGGCCACCACTGTCCTCCATGGAGTGGTGCAGCTGGCAGAAGCCTGTGTGCTTTGCTTCGCTTCACCTGCAGCCTCTCCACCCTGAACCCTCCCCAGGGCAGCCCTTTCTCTAGGACCACAGTGTCCGAACGCACCGTACCCTCACAGTTCTGTCCCAGTGCAGGCTCTGCTCCCCGGACCCTCAGGATGTCCCTCTTGCCATCCCCTGTGCTCACACAGCAGCACCGCGGCTTCCTCCCCATCTTCCCTTCCATGGCGTGTTGCGGCTCCTGCCTCTGGAGCAGGGAGGAACTGGGGGCAGACCTCAGGAGCAGGAGAGGTGCCGTTGGGACAAGCTGTCCCTGCATCTCCCTGCATCCAAAGGACGCCAGCCGGGACTCGGGGGCTGCGCTGGCACAACCTCCACCTCCTGCTGGCTGCGTGCTGCCCGTGTAGCCGGGCTGGCTCGGGCTAGTGCCCCCTTGGTGCAGGTAGCTTGGCTGCCTCCAGCCCCACTTCTCCAGCTGGGCTATAGAGACACGGGCACAACTAAAACCACTCCGGGGCTCATCCCGTTTTCCCTCAGAGAGGAGCGGGGGCCATGGTTTGGGCTGCAGGTGCTCTGCAGCCCCTCTGAGCTCCGTGGGTAGAGCTGGAGATGGGCCATGAACCAGGAGGCTTTCAGGTTCTGCCCGTGGCTTCCAGCCTGCTCTTTGCCAGGCGTGCCACCTCCACGGCTTGGGAAACGTGTCCGCTGAGGGTGTCCCCCAGGGCTGCTCCCCGCTGCCTCCGGTGCTGACCTGCGCTTTCCCTCTCCTCCAGCAGCCCAAAAAGCAGCCGCCGGATGCCGATGACCTCACTAGTGACAGCGTCCAGAGCATCAGCGTCAATACGCTCTTTCTCCTTAGCACCACCGTTGACAGGATGAACAACGTGAGTCTGCCTGGTCGCTTCCACCTCTGCGGTGGTCGGTGCTGGCCCCAGAGCTGCCGTCCGTGCACCGTGTGCTGGGGGTCCTGCGCTGCCCTCGGCACAGCCCGCACCACCCCTGCGACGTGCGGGATGGCCCATCTGCTGGGCGGGATGCCTTGTCACCGCTCCCAACCCTTGCAGGAGCTATTGCCGCTATCCCCGTCCCTCTGAGAGCGGGGCGGAGGTTTGGTTTGGGAAGCTGTCCTCCCAAGGACCCACGCGTACCCTCCCCACGAGCTTCTCTGAGGCTGGAGCAAGGCAGTGGTGCTGGATGTCCTCTGTTTAAGAAAGACATGGACCTGGTGGAGCGGGGCCAGAGGAGGCCACCGAGATGCTGGGAGGGCTGGAGCCCCTCTGCTGGGAGAGTTGGGGGGTTCAGCCTGGGGAAGAGAAGGCTCCGCACAGACCTCAGAGCCCCTTCCAGTGCCTAAAGGGGCTCCAGGAGAGCTGGGGAGGGACTCTGCATCAGGGAGGGGAGCCGTGGGACCAGGGGGAACGGTTTGACACTGAGAGAGGGGGGATTTAGGTGAGATCTGAGGAAGAAATTCTTGGCTGTGTTAAATGGCTTTAACCTGGAAAACTGGTGGGAGGTGTCCCTGCCCAGGGCAGGGGGAGACTCGATGGCCTTTAAGGTCCCTTCCCACCCAAACCGTCAGGCGATTCTGTGAAAGGGAACACTCTGCGGTTGGAGCTCCGGTGCTGCAGGAGCAGAGCACCGGCAGTGGTTGGACTCCATGATCTTAAAGGTCTTTTCCAACCTAAATGCTTCTCTAATTCTGTGACCTCTCCCGTCCTGACCAAGAGCCATGGCTAAGGGCACTCGGGAATTTTCCCTGTCAGCAAAAGGCCTTTCACTGGCATCTCCCCATCCCGTCCCTCTCGCTCCCCTGCTCCGGTGCAGGGTCCCGTCCCGCAGCCAGGCTCTTGCTGGCTGCCCTGCGCCATCAGGCACCGCGAGCGCCGCGCTCTCCTCTTCCCCGCAGGTCCTCTGGCCATACCTCCTGGAGTTTGTGACTCCCATACAGTTCACCAACGCCCTGACCCCGCTCTGCAAGAGCCTCATGTATTTGGCCGTGAAGAAGCAAGAGGAGGGAGAAAACGCGTCCCTGATCCGTTACGACCTGAACGGTCAGTGCCGGCCTCCCCCGGCAGAGGTGGGGGTGGGGGAGCGTGGGACTCGTCTGCCAGCCAAGCCGGCTTCGGGGGCGCTCGGTGGGCGATGCTGTCTTACGCTTTTTTCCCTTCTGTTTGCAGCAAACCTTCCTTCGCCCTATGCTCTAACGACGCGACTGCTGGTGAGTGGCCTGAAGGCAGAGCTCTCCCTTTCTCCCATTTCCCAGACAGCCGAAGAAACCGCTCTCCCTCCCCTGTCCCACGTGGACTAAGAGAAGCCGGCGCCGAGCCTGCCCCAGGCAGGGGGAATGCCCTGTTTCACCTCGCTGCTCCAGGCAGAGGTTTCTGTATCCAGAACCACCGTGCACCTCTTGGGTTGGGTGCAGCCCCATCCCTTCCCCGCACAGGAGCGTCTCCGTGTAGCTCAGAGTCCCTCTCAGACCCCCAGAGCTGTGTCCGTGGGGTGTGCTCCAGTGTGGGTCTCCAGCCGGTCCCACGGAAGCTCTTCCCAGGCCGGGGGAGGCTGGGCTTTGCTCTCCCTCGCCCAGGGATGAAGCTGGGGTACGGAGAGACGTTCTCTCCTGACGGCATTTCTCTATCCCCAGCTGGAGCAAAAGGAGCACGCTGTGGTTTCCTTGAGGTGTAGAGACCAATTGCCTCCAGTGTTGCGTTCCTCTGGGGTTTGTTTCCTATTTTTGACTCCCAACCCACAGATCGCTTTCTCTGCAGTGACAGCCTTTGTTCCATCCCCAACCTTCCAGGTTGTATCGTCCCAGCCGTACGCAGGAGACTGCCGGGGGATGGCTGCCCTGCGTCTGCTCAACGTACTGCATTACAGCGTCCACCCCGCGCTGGACCAGCTTTGGAGCAAGCAGGTTCCTCTCTTGGTGGAGCACATAGAAGGTAGGAAGGGGCTTCGTGCTCAGGAGAAACTCTGCTGGAGTCACCTTCTCCAAACTGGGCTGCGTGTGCCCGGACACTTGGGGGTGTCCCAGGAGCCCCTCTGCTGGGAGGACAGGCTGGGAGAGTTGGGGGGTTCAGCCTGGAGAAGAGAAGGCTCCGCGCAGACCTCAGAGCCCCTTCCAGTGCCTAAAGGGGCTACAGGAGAGCTGGGGAGGGACTCTGCATCAGGGAGGGGAGCCGTGGGACCAGGGGGGACGGTTTGACGCTGACAGAGGGGGGATTTAGGTGAGATTTGAGGAATAACTTCTTGGCTGTGCGGGTGGTGATCCCCTGGCGCAGGTTGCCCCAAGAAGCTGTGGCTGCCCCATCCCTGGAGGTGTTCAAGGCCAGGTTGGACGGGGCTCTGAGCAACCTGGGCTGGTGGTGGACTCGATGGCCTTTGAAGGTCCCTTCAACCCAAACCATTGGGTGGTTCTATGAATAAGCACTGCCCACGTGCCTGGTGCCCCCTGAGACACTGAAGCTCTCTGAAGAAGTGCCATTTCCTATTTTAATAGGGACTTTAATCACCCTTTAATCACCACTAATGCCCACCAGGAGCGCCTCTGTGTCTCTGGCAGTTATCCCCACTGCATCAAGCGCAGCACGCGCAGCGTTTGAAGCACGCTCTGCCCCTGCTGCGGGATCTCCAGCGAGGGCGAGAAACGAGTGTGAAAAATGTGCTTTCTCCTAGAGAACACGGAGAAGTCCCTGTCCCAGAAGGAGTGGGAGGAGAAGCTGCTGCTGGTAAGGGTCCCTGTGCCGGGGAGGCAACGGGGCAGCGGGAGGGCAAGTGGCAACCGGCCCTGGAGGTCCCCTCGGCTGGGCTTTGCCGGGGCTTGGCAGGCAGGAGGGCAGCGTGGGCTGGGTCTCGCCTTCGCCCGCCCTGACCGTGGTGGTGGAGATGGTCACTCCTCGTCATGCTGCCAGGTCTCGCCACTTCGGAAGCAGAGATGCGGGTCAGCGCAGAGGGTGACGCGCCGTTCCTGCGGGGAACGCTAAAAACGGGCTTTCGGGCTTGGTGGTGGGTCAGAGAACAGTGGTCCCAGGAGTGTCTCCCCACTTAATTGGAGAGCCTTAAAATAGGGCACGGAGAAGCAATTAAAACCGGGCAGGGCTCATCCTGCTCCTCTCATGGTGGCGGTGCTACTTGGGTGCAGTTTATCTCGGAAGAGAGCTGACCCCGAGGAAAAAGGCACATTTCTGGAGCGGGGGACATGGCTGTGTGCTGGCAGGATCCGCTCCGGGGTGGGCAGAGTCCTTCCCCAGGGGGAAGCAGCCTTTCCCGGGGGGGTGCGTGCTTGCTTCCTGCAGACGAGGGTCCGGGTAGGTCTGACACAAGCTCCCCCGCGGTGTTTTATTTATCGCACGGCTCTCACCCCCCCGGCTGAGGCTTAGCCAGCAGCGGGTTTGTTCGGCCGCTGACGGCTCTTCCCTCCCCGCAGTTCCTCCAGGAGACGCTGGCGGCCGTGTCTGACAGCGCATGGATTTGCCATTTTGTGACGGAGATGTGCAGGCAGCTGAACAACTACAACGGCTTCCCGCCGGAGAAGGTGATGGCGCCGGGGGGGATATCGGCGCGCTGGCGGTGCCCGTCCTGCCGCGGCGTGTGGGCAGGGGCAGGGCCGATCCAGCCCTCGCCGCTTTGCGAAAGCGTGGTTCTGCCGGCAGCTTGGGGCTGGGAAAGGGGCGTCAGGAGGGGCGAAGGAAGAGCAGGAGGCTGGTGAGGTGGCTGGGCAGCCTTGAAAATGAAACACTGGTCAGTCAACAGCCAAATCGCCGGCTCGAGAGGTCCCGGCCAGGCTGTGTTGCTCTGCCTGTGCTGGTGAGACCCAACTGGTGGTCTCTGCGGCTTGCAGGACATCAGTGAACGGGTCTGTAACAGCTGAGCGAGAAGTGAGCTGAACCAGGCCGAGAGCTCTCTGGTGTGGAAGGGAAGGAACCAAATAAGCCATAAGACTTCTGTCCCGGTGCACCCTGGTGCTCCGAGTGTCCCAGCTCTTACGAACAGGCTCTGTCCTGCTCCTTTGCTTCAGGGCACGCGCCTCCAGGCTGCTGCAAGGAGTAACCTGCATGTGACCAAGCTCAGTCCGCCTCCGAGGGCTTGGCAGGGTTTCACGGGGTGGTAACGTTCCTCTTTGCTCTTCCAGAACTTCCTGTATAAATGCATCGGGACGACGCTTGGGGCGTGTGCCAGCAAAGACCTCGTGCAAAAGCAGCTCCAGGAGCTCCTGGAAACAGCCAGATACCACGAGGAGGCAGAAAGAGAGGTGAGGAGGAGTTATGCCAAACATCTCAAGGGTCATCCTGATGGACCGGGAGAGCAGTCCTACCGTGCTGACCTTCTTTTCTGGTCTGGAAAAGACTGTCACTGTGCCTGGCCTGGGCTTGTACCTCCTGAGGAACGGCTGTAGAGTAGGTTGCAGAATCTGAGTGAATGGGCCCAGAAAAGTGAAGAGAGCCTGCTTGCGAGAGCGCTCTGAAGCTGGGTGGGATGCAGGGGATGCCATGGGACACTGTCTCAAGTGACGTGTGGACCCAGCCTGGAACAGGGTGCTGTTTGCCAGCCCTGAACCTGCTGGCAGACCTGCTTCCTCGGGGAAATCATCACATCACCGGATGGGTTGGGTGGGAAGGGACCTTTAAAGGCCATCGAATCCAACCCCCTGCCCTGGGCAGGGACACCTTGCACTCAGAGCCCCGTCCAACCTGGCCTTGAACACCTCCAGGGATGGGGCAGCCACAGCTTCTCGGGGCAACCTGCCCCAGGGGCTCGCCACCCCCAGAATAACAATTTTCTTCCTTAAATCTAATCTAAATCTCCCCTCTTCCAGTTAAAACCGTTCCCCCTCGCCCTTTCGCTTCAGGCCCTGCTAAAAAGTCATCTGCTCGTGAATGCTTTGCAGCATTTTCTTCACCGCCAGCTCAGACCCTCCTTCGCTGCCCTGGAGCTGAGGTCGAATCATAGAGTCGCTGAGGTTGGAAGGGACCTTTAAGATCATCAAGCCCAACCATTAACCTACCCTGACAAAACCACCTCTAAACCATGTCCCCAAGCACCACGTCTGCCCTTCTTTTAAACCCCTCCAGGGATGGCCAATCCCCCCCTCCCCGGGCAGCCTCTTCCAATGTTCGATAACCCTTTCGGTGAAAAAATGTTTCCTAATATCCAATCTAAACCTCGCCTGGCATAACTTGAACCCATTTCCTCTCATGCTATCACTTGTCACCAGGGAGAAGAGGTCAGCCCCCCCCTCTACCCCCTCCTTTCAGGGAGCTGTTGAGAGCGTGAAGGTCTCCCCTCAGCCTCCTCTTCTCCAGGCTGAACCCCCCCAGGTCCCTCAGCCGCTCCTCACCAGACGTGTGCTCCAGACCCCTCACCAGCTCCGTTGCCCTTCTCTGGACACGCTCCGGCCCCTCGATGTCTGTCTCGCCGTGAGGGGCCCAAAACTGAGCACAGCACTCAAGGTGGGGCCTCTCCAGTGCCAAGGACAGGGGT